AAGAGTATTTTAAATCTCGGCATCTCTTAAGGTGAAAAGTCACAGTTAAATCAATTCCGGGAAATATTCCCTCTTTTTGCTCAGAGTTTGGACAGAAGATTTTTTTCCTCATTCATACCGCTTCATTTTACGCCCCCCCTCTGCCCCCACCCCATAAATGTCATCCTTGGGAACACGGCACCACCCTGCAGGAATGTAGGGAACCGGGTCATCTCTGACTCAGAGGAAAAACACTCATTACTGAGAACTTCTATCGTGCTTTTCTCTCTGCTGACAGAAATCTGCAGTACAAACACTCTGCAGTCTGGAAAAACAAAGGAAGCAGCAGAAGTTTCTGCAAAAAAAATTTCATTTCCTTCAGAAAAGGAAAGCTTTTGTTCCAAAGTTCTTTGTCAAGTATCTTCACCCATCTCTGCCCTCCCTCCTTCCCTTGCTACCAAGGGGCTCAGACAGCTGGTTCTTGCTAGGATGCTGCAAGAAATCTGCATTACGATGTCTGATTTCTTTTTTTTTTTTTTTTCCCCCCCAGAATAAAGAAGACAACGTTATTACGACTCCAGCTCTTGGCTGAGCCCGAGTATCGGCTCAGCGACGTGATGAGGGAATCCCTCCTGCAGGACCGCCTGGCACCTGTCCTCACCGAACCCCATCTCTTGGCTTTAGACAGACGGTTACAGCTTATCCTGAAAGCTGTGAGGAAATGCATAGACACATACGGAGAAGCCAAAGTGGTGGCCAACGACACCGCGCAGCCCGAGGCTCCTGCGTCTGACAGAGTGAAGCTGACCACTTAAGCAGTCCTTAACTCGTGGCTCGGAGGTGGGGAAAACCCCTGCAAGGCAAGCGTTTTAATAGCTGGTAATTTCCATCTACAAACGCTTGCAGAGACCGAGAGGGGAAACTCTTCAGAAGATCTTCAAGAATCACACTGGGCTTCTATGCTGGGTACTGAAGCAAAGGCTCCATGCTTGGCCAGCGTGTTGGTAAGTTGTGGTGTGACTGCAGCAGACCCTGGCACCCTGAACACCAGCTCTCTGGGGGAAAAGCGGCGATCTCCTGTTCTGTAGCTGGTCGTGCCCTTGGGAGGGCAGGGGAACACCTGGCCATTGGTTTGCTCAACCTGCACGGGATCTCGGTCTTGCTAGTGAAGGACACAAACTAGATCCAAGGATGAGGCTTGAATAAAGAGATACCAAGAGCATTTTCCTCTTATTAAGTCTCTGTTCTGTAATCAAGACTGGGTATTTGAGGAAAAAAAAGCAATCTTACTTCACAAGGGCAGTACCTGCCACTGAGACAAGATGGCACGTTGGTTCAGCATGGTCAGACTGAAGAGCATCTGCACAGTATTCACCATCAAGCCTGTCCGTGGCCTCTCAGCCTCTTCAACAGTGGTCAACCCACTCTGATCTGTGCACATTGCTCAAAAGCCCACTGCCTCACAGGGCAGTAGAGCCACTTCTAGTTTTACCTGCCTCGTGGGTGGAAGAGCCAGTCTGGGTTATAAGAGAAAGGCAGGTATGTGTTGCCTTGACCCCAAGGGAAAAAAAAAAAAAAAGCCAAACCGAACTGCTCAGAGGCATAGGACTATATTTACAATTCAAGAAGCCACCCACTTCTGGTGAAAACATTTTGCCAAAGTGGGAGGATCTCAGGTCATCTGCTCACTTCTCGTAGCTTTAAAATCACTTAAGTTGTCAGCAGTCCCTGGAAAACAGAAATGGTACACGTACACACACCCCCCTCCACCCCCCTGTGCGTTTGAGGAGACACAATAGGAACTGGAGACAAAAAAGAAAACCCACAACAACAAAAAAAATCCCCCAGGACACAAGAGTGGGGAGGGAGTTTCTGGAGATCTTTGAATTTGTAGTTTTCCCCTTGCCTCTCAAGGACAAGGCTTACGAATAGTTTGATTACTGAAGCTCTCAGCTTTTTCCTTTAACTGTTCAAGAATGATTGCGCTGAGCTTTTTTGGCAGCCTAGGGAAAGTAGTTGAGAACATTGTTGATAATTTATCATCCTTAAGGAAAAAAAAAAAAAAACCAACCCACCACAACCAATCTACTAGAAGCTCATTCTAAACTAACCAGTAAGTTAAACAAAATTCCATCTGCAGCACTGCAGACCTTTCCGAGGAGAATCCTAAAACCGTAGCACAAACGTCAGGCAGCAGTTGTTAACAGGTTCTCGGCAAGCTGCTGCACCTACCGCTGGCACATCCTCTCATGGGCTGGAATTTTGCCCAACCTAAAAGGGAACTCAGTTGACGCTGGCAGGAAGTGCCTGGATCATGCAAGGAAGGAACAAAGCTTGTTTGGCCACAGCTATTGTTTTTCACAGGGGACGGTGCTGACATTTAATTCAACTCCACAATAATTCTACAACACACCTGTCTCCGCACTGTGAAACTACAGAAGAGACTCTGGTCGTAATTTGAGTGTGTCCCTGCAGGTGCCCGTTCTATTTATTTGTACGAGGAAGTTTGGAGTGTTCCTACTTAGCAGGGATTCCCTTCAACATTCTGAAGCCACAAAGGTTAGCAAAAAAAACCACCCACAACATCCCCCCCCCCCAAAACAAAA